GGACCAGGCCTTAGATTGATTCCCCCCCCCCCCCCAGTGTAGACCAAGCCTAAGGCCTAGTCTACACTAGAAAGGATTTGCCAATAAGCTATACCAGCAAACCCTCCTAATGGAAACATAGCTTATGCCAGCAGAAAAATGTTTTTTTCTGGTAAAACTTATACCGATTGCCTGAGCAAAATAAACTATACCAGCAAAAGCACTTTTATGCTGATATGACTGCAGCTACACTAGGGCTTTTGCCAGGATAGAAATGGTGTAAAACAAAAACCACACCCCTAACCGACATTACTAGACCAGCAAAAGTTTCTACAGTGTGACCTGGTCTACACGGGGGGGAGGGGGGGAAGGATCGATCTAAGATGCGCAACTTCAGCTACAAGAATAGCGTAGTTGAAGTCGACGTATCTTAGATCGACTTAGAATTCCTTACTTCATGTCCTCACGGCGCGGGATCGACGGCCGCCGCTCCCCCGTCGACTTTGCTTCCGCCTCTCGCCGAGCTGGAGTTCAGCAGTCGATGGGAGAGTGATCGGGGATTGATTTATCGCGTCTACACTACACGCTATAAATCGATCCCCGATAGATCGATCGCTAGCCGCCGATCCGGCGGGTAGTGTAGACATACTCTGTAGACCTGGCCTAACTTCTCCTTGACCACGCTGCGCTAGAAATAGACACACACACAATGCCCAACATCACGTTGCCATGTGAGAAATTTCTACAGGCAGCAAAGCAGCAATCCGTCAACTGGTCAAGTCCTGTCCACATCAGTCCCACAAACCAAATCTTCCCACATCCACAGGGTCAAGCCAATATCCTCTGAGTCCATTCTATCCAAAAGATGTGCTATAACCTTGCACCATCGGCTAAAAATTACATGTGCCTTCATCACAGAGGGTGTATGACTCAGAGACAGTTTATTAATTGGCTTTACTATTTTCCCCAACAGTCACTAAAGTTTCCCCCCTGTTTCTACTGTCAGCCAGATGAATTTTAACTGAATTCAGCCACACACATATTCCTCCAGCCGTCTGCGACAAAAGAGAAGCTGACTCAACTTTTATGAATCCCCAACACAGCCACATACCAGAGATACATAAAAACCTCTGGCACAGTATAAAATGTATCGGAACCCTTTTAATGCAGGATGCATCACAGCAAACCCTTGATTTGACTAACCGTTTGATATTTTCATGTAGCCATTACAGCTAACTGGATTCGTAAGTCACATTCCCTTCATGTCTGTAGCTTTAAAAGGGGAGCATTCACATTGCAGCTAAACCGTTAGTATAAATTTCTGTAGAGGAAAATCTTTGATGAAGGGAATCAGGAATGCTTCACAAACCAAGGAAAGAAGAGTGAACTAAGTACCCCCAAATGCAGGTGTTGATGATGGATAAGATTTGCACTCAAGGATAGAGAGGCATTTAAATTTTTTTGTTCTGTGTTTGTACCGCGCCTAACAGAATGGGGTCCTAGTCCATGAGTAAGGCTCCTAGGCACTAGAGTAATACAAATAAAGGATAATAATAGTGTGGTACTATATAGAGGTCTAACTAGGAGTAATAGGATAAAATT